TTCATGCAACATAACATCCTTGTAACTAGCGTTTTGCCTTCATAATAAGGCATCTGTGAATAAATAATGATTAGTAAGATTAGAAATGCGTCTAGGGTAGTCTACTCTCTCAAAATTCTATTTGTTGCAGTTCTTTTGCAGCAGGTTCTAATCTGTGATCAACAGGGCTCACAGGTTAGTTGTTCAAATTAAGCCATCCTAGAGTCATATTGTCCTTCGCCTTCTTTGTGGCAGTGCCAAGAGGCTCTCTCTAGTTATAGAGCTTTAGTAATTCTCTTAGGGCTGTTCAGCCCTAGGTGGCTTGGAAAGAGACACTCAGGGACAGATCCTCAGCAGCTATAAGCAGTGGGAGTATATTTTAGTAGAATATAACATTTTATAGCTGCTGAGTATCTTTCAGGAAACACTTCCTGCCCACAGCTTATTTGCAGGAGCTCTACCTGAGCCAGAAATACAACAACTGAGTACTGCAGGGTTCTTTGAGCTTCTGCAATAGGCATACTTTCAGGGATTTTGACTTGACTTAAGGTTGTCAGTTGTCAGCAGAGAGGAGACTATTTTATTGTCCAGTAATAGGTTCAGTGGAAGAAATTTCATAGGCTAGTATTCTAGGTTCCCATGTTCTTTAAGTACAACTCTATAAAGAAAACTACAGCATTACAGTGTAACAGATAAAAACCCAGGGCTAACATTGTAGTCTTAAATACATTAATGCTGGCCTGCCTCTACTCTTTTTGTGTATACTGGGACATTTTGAAATTGATTTGCCCATAGGATCATTGCAAAGTAGAGCTGGAAGAGACATCACAAGATCATCTAGACCAGCCCCCTACTCAAGGCAGGATCATCCCTGACTAGACCATCCTAACCAAGTGCATTTAACCTGCTTCTGAAAGTTTCCAGGCATGGTGAATCCACAATCTCTCTAGGTAGCCTGTTCCTTTGCTCAACTACCCTTATAGTCAGAAAGTTACTCCTAATCTCCAGTTTAAATATTTCCTGCTGCAGCTTGAGGCTGTTGCTCCTAGTCCTGTCCCCCACAGCCTCACTATCCTCTATCCATACAAACTTTTATTCACTGCTCTGAATTTGTTTGCATTTGAGTTTCTAAAACACCTTATTAGTGGCTGAACAAGTATTTGATGAGACACCTGGCCACTAGTCAGAGTGTTTTAAAACAAAGAGGGCATGTCTACATGTGCTTTTACACATGCCTAAACTTAATGTGCATTTGCCTTGGGACTAATGTTAGTCCCAAATCAGTTGACATACAGCATTAATGTGCCTTAACACATCTACGTGTGCGTTAAGGCACTTTACTTATTCATGCCTAAATTTGATACCAGGTTTTGCAGGTATCAAATTTAGGCATGAATAGGCTAAAATTGCCATTTTTAAGGTGCATTAAGGGTGCACATGTGTAGACCTGCGCCCTTAATGCATCTTAAAAATGGCTAATGTACCTTAAATTGGCATGTGTAGATGTGCCCAGAGAATTCTTGTCCAGTGCTAGAGAGCTCCTTTTGAGTACCTTTTGATGCTGCATCCTTTCTTGAGGTATGGAAGCTTGCCTTTCATCATACTTTCTCCTTGCCTGCTTCTTTTTTGGACAGTATTGCTGGAGCTAGCCAGGATACTGTTTAACTAAAAATCGAATGCCACTACTAATTCAGCATTTCTTTGCTTTTGTAATTTTACTCACTGAAATTTTAAGATAGCTTACTTTGCTCCCATCCAGGCCTTGATCAAAATATCTTCAGTCTTATCTCTAAAATGTTTCATAGTTTCATAGTTTCTAGGGTCGGAAGGGACCT